GGGAGTCGCTTCGATTTTGCGTGAGGAAGGGAATCGTGTTTCGCATGGTAATGGTGCTTGGAAATGAACCGTACAAGCTATCAATAAGTAGTGTAGTTTCTCAGAGTCCGAGTTTCTTCGGTTGACGAAAACGATTTCCTATTATGGAGAGCAAGAAGGATTAAACGTGCTTTTGTACTTGATGGTACTTTCTCGTTCTGGTTCGACTTGGTTTATACTCATAGTTCTTGATTCTTCTTCGTACTTCCTCATATTTTTCTTTAGTTCTAAACGCATTCAAAGTTTTTTAACGGTTTTTACTGCACGTGGATACTAGTATTATACCATCAGTTTTTGATGGATATAGTTTCAGAACGCTTTAAGCATATTCGTGATGAAGAATTATAAAGAATAAGCTTGTTAGCACAGCTCCTTTGGAGCTAAAATGTGGAACTCACGTATATCCTTCAGTCTTGTTATCTTAATACGTCACCTATAAACTGAAAACTTTCTTGTCGACTACAGTTTTTTTTGTAAATAATTGCTGACAAGAAAAATCATTGATCATTTAATTTCTACATTTAAAATTGAAACTCTCTTTTTCGTTTAAGCGCGCCTGATCTTTTTCTTATTATTGTTGCTATACACTCAATAATAATCATTTTTTTTATTTTTTATTTTTTTGAAATTACTTTTTTTTTTCATCATCGATTATTTCATCAATACAACTATTAGAATAATGCAGTTTATATCTGTAAGCCACTCTCATCACACTATTAGATATCTCAATTAATTCATAAATGGTCATATTGTATACGTCTGACACTGATACAAAGGTCGAATCATGTTTGTCACATCGATTATACCATCGGTATGACAGATCAATACCTATTATTACTCTTTATTGTTGATTTTTTACGTGCACATTTTAATTTAAAAAAATACTCAGTGATTACATTATTAGGAACTTTAACAAATTTATATTAGTTTTTTCCAATATTTATGAAAACATTGAAATATTGTATGACAGTCAAACTGATATTCTTCATACTGTTCAACTCTGTTTTTATTGTTAAATAAAGTTGAAGTTTTTTATGCCCGGTTGCTGAGGTCTGTAATGGGGAGAGGGGGTCTCTGTAATAGGGGGTATGTCTGTAATGTTCTCTTTCCCGTTGCTATGTGTCTGTAATGGCGTGGGGAGGGGTAGGGGAGGAGGGAGCCACCAACCTCGAAGTGAAAACTTACACTCACTATTTTCTTCGAAAACATACGTGAGCTCCACAAAAAAAAGAGAAAACAACATGTAACATTCGGAATGTGCTGTGTAGAAAATGTGTTATATTGTGGACCAAATGTTTCATGATAGCGAATCTTCACTTTGTGTCTCAGGATCACGAATGATCCATTTGATTATTCTTCATTAGTTTATTTTGTATAATAGCTCAACTAGATCTTTCATACTCCATGTCACCTTCCAGAGTGGATGAAGAATTTCCATCACCTTTTGGTTGGAAAACTTCGGAGTTCAATAGAGCTGAAGGTGCTGTTTTCAAAGATAATGTTTTTATTTGCAGTGGGTAAGACCGTAAGAAAGACGCGAAGCAGTCTTTGAAGGCCTCAAAAAACAGATTTTGAGCTGAACACTCTCTAAAATCCGATTTGGATTCGTTTAAAAACGTTTTATCTTATACAGAGTGTTTTTTTTTTGGAGAGACCTGTAGGAAGGTCCTGGACATTCAAAGCCTTCTCTGTAGATGTATTCGAAAAGTGTTCTACTTGGGTGAAATTTTTACGCATGATTTTTACAGTGGACAATAGTTACAGTTTGTACGCATGTTCCAGCGAGATTTTTTATTCAAAAATGTGGTTCGATATGATTTTTCTGATCATATCATACCATTTGTAACTTAACACTTGATGCCCGATGAATCGCTTTTATCTCAACTGCCATACTTGTCAGCCAATTTTACTTTGCTTTTGAATTATAAAGACCAGTTTTAGTAGAAAAAACATTGTTTGAGTTCAAAAGAAAGTAATATTCGTAAATCAGTGCAAAACTAGGGCTGTTGATGTCTTGTAAATTATTTCCTCGGGTTTTGGCTTCAGTTACATGTCCAGGATTGGCCCTCAGAGATTTCTGCAAAAATGAATTCCAACCAAAAACTATTTCGACAGTGTAATTACCCTTTGGGACATAAACAACGGTACTCCGATACCCTTAGAAATAGAACCGGTATTTCATCTGGCAGCACATTATAAAATCCCAGCTCCTTTATACCATAAAACGTCACCCAAACTGTGAACGAAGTATCGATGACTCATAAGCACTTCCGGATTTTAAAATGACAGCCCTTTAGGGCGTTCCTGTAATCCGACCCACTACTTTTAATAACCACCAACATGTACCGCATCTTTCCTTACTATCGTGCTTCGCATTTCCACCTGTCTCATAACTTTTAGAGATCGCACTAACACATTCGGCTCAGTGATTCCGTAACAACCAGAGGTCCGTCGACACCGACGGTCCCCTACGAACAAATATCCCGTCATCAACAACGTACCAAAACTTCCAATAATATCGTATACAATGCGCCGATAACTACAGGACAACGCATCTAAAAGATGACTCTTGTCGACGCACTTCGCTACCCAAGCATACTTCCGTATAGTGGTCTTTCAGAATCCAAAGATACATCTTAGAGTGTCACATCAGTACCCAAGAGTACGCCGCTATATCAGCACTTGAGGACCAGAAAACATTTCCATCTCGTGCGACTTGGAAACCCAAGAGTAACCCCTAATAGTAGGACTTGAGGACCCAAAGGTACTCCCCAATAGTAGGACTTGAGGACCCAAGGGAGCCCCGAATAGTAAGACTTAATGGCCCAAGAGTACCCCCTAATAGTAGGATTTGAGGACCCAAGGGTACTCCCCAATGGTAGGACTTGAGGACCCAAGAGTAACCTCAATAGTAGGACTTGAGTACCCTAAGCTACTGGCTTGATGATGGTAGACACTCACTTTACTGTTCCTAGATCGTCATCCGGGAACAATAACCCCCCACCCCTAGCTCTAAGACTATGACAAACTACCGTAAAAACATGTGCTAAATCATCGATTTTGAAAGTTCAATTTCCTTTCTTCTCTATTATGTGGCTAATTGCTGAAGCAGTTCTTTGGATGCATGAGGGACCATGAAATCATTCTTAATTTTACCTAAGTTTCGGCTCAGAATACAGT